AAAGATAAAATGAATTAGGTTAGAACACGTTTTCAAAACAAATAACAAATGAGGCTTGATCCAACATCAAGTCATTTTCAAACTCATTTCAAATTGAATCACCCTAGGGTTTCTCCTTCTCTTTTCACATCTCTTCCATCAAATCACACCAACCTTGTATGTATTCAACCCTTGTAAATTAATTGCTTCGCGCATCGCCATTAACCTACCATGCTCTATTCATCACCCTTTCTTTTCAAACTTTTCTCCTCAGGTCTAAAAAACTTGGTCTCGTACCAAGCGTATTTTCAAAACTCTTTTCCTAATAAACATGGATGGTTGTGGAGTGGTTAGGTGAAGGCCTTGTCCTATCTCGAGTGCTTGACATTACCTTTAGGGTTCAATGTTGTAAAGCACTTACCATTCAAGATCAAAACATCTTTAATAAAGAGAATGAAGTTCTCTTTGTATTGAACTAAAGAGAGAGGTTTGAGTGCAAACTTCTTCCTCTTCGAGTATCAGGATACTCACTGTAGAGTGTGTGGTCTCGATACTCGTCTTTCAATACGAAGACGTGACTATGTTCGTCATACTATTTTTACAATAAATCTTTTGAGATAAAGAATTGGGTACTACCCGCAAGGGGTTACTATCCGAGGACCTATTTCACTCTTAAAAATAACCTCCACAAATCAAATGTGACATCTTGCCTCGATGGCGAAAATTATCTCTTTTCAGAAGGACATGCTACATTCGTTCTACCGCAAACAGGTAACGCCTAAGACTCTACAAGCGAGCTACAATACACCTAACTGCTAGAATGTGTATGTTAGCATCGTCTACCAGACCCTTCCCAGTTAACCGTAGGCTGAACTACAGCTGCTCTGATTCTTTACTTCTTTTAAGTGAAGATATGTAGCCATAAGGGCCCCAATCCTTGCCAAGCACACTTTCCCCTCTTTTATTCATAGTTCTCCGAACTACGTGGACTCTAACTTTCTCATACTTATTGAGAATACGTAGGCATAGGACTGCGAAGTCCAACTAAGTCTCTTCTTTCCCTTTATCTCTCTTTTTCCCTGTTTCTGGCCCTTATCTTTATCCTTTGGAACACTCTTTACAGCAGTATCTTTTAGCAAATAACTTCACGTATAGACAAACAAATGGTTCTCATCGAGTACAATGGATGCGAAGGGTGCTAATACCTTCCCTTCGCATAACCGTCTTCCGAACCCTTTCTCTTGGTTGCGAAACCATCTTATTCGTTTCATCTTAGGGTTTTCTCGATGTTTTCTCTTCCTCTTACGGGATAAATAAAGTTTGATGGTGACTCTTCTGTCTTTCACTTTTCGCCTCTCCGTCGTTGCATTTTCGAGTAGCGACACATGTACTGCGTGTAGCCGAACTTTTGCATGACACACTCAGAAAGATGAGGAAATGTCATACGTGATCCGCAAGCCAACCATCTCAAGTATAAGGATATATCATCAAAGGTATGCGTCTTACGGTGATCAACATACGTATGGAAGTGTATATCCTCTGCTACCAATCGGTCAAGATACACTTTGAATGACTTTGTCGCGTGGTTCTCTCTGAGCGGGGCGAAGGCAGCAACACGTGGCATATCTTTACTATAGATTGGTAGATATTACCATTCGGAGATGTGTGGGAAGTGTTGGAGGATCCAAGGCTGAAAATTGTTGGAACACATGGACCATTAGTAATGGCGTTACAAAAAACTTATGAAAATGACACAAACATTAAAAGAGAAAGAAATATTACCGTCAATAATGTGATGATGTTTGTCACCTATTTCGTTTTTCATATACAATCCTTGGATAACTTAGAGTACAAGTAAACCAAACAAGCGCCACCTCCCCCCACCCCTCCATTATACTCATGGATTTGCTCAAAGTCATCGAAGTATCACAGGTAAATGACATCCACATAAGTGACACTCTTGTCCACAAAAATGACAGTGTCAACCAAATATAACATGTATGCTCTCATAGCATATGCTCTATGTTGTAGAACCTGTTCATCATCACCAGCAACCTTCTCTGTTATAACTAACTCATCTGTATACACCTTCTCTAGGAATAGAAACCTAGCATGAGCCCCTCGGGTGGCCTAAAACTCCTTCATGATAGCCTCTGGGTCAAATCCCAAATAGTCTACCATCATCTCTTTTAATCTCCCAATGATCTAAATTTTCCCCATAATTGAAAGATACAACAAACATGAGTCATCATCCACTGTGATAGACGTCTCACCATGTGGAAGATGAAATGATGATATCCTTGTATGTCATCTCTCTATAAACGAATTAAGCATACCATGGTTAATTGTACCATAATTGGTCTTGCATAAGTCTTTCATCCCGAATAGCCGCAAAACATCTTGAAACCATGTCTCATTAGGCTCCTGTACCCCAATAATCTTGCGTCCATGGTTGATGAATTTCAGCGGATCACAGTCATACAGAAAAATAACTCATCGTTAGAAATTTTTTATATTATAACAAACATTATTTAAAAAGAATTAATCCAACTAATTTTACCTCTTTGTCTCATGTATGCCTAGTAGTATGGTTCGGGTAAAGAGGCAGTAGTGACAAGTTTGACGGGCCTCCTCCAAACCCATGTGGTGCCTCTACTGCCTCCTAGGCCTGGGGTGCCTCAGGTACCTCTACCACTTCTTGTTCCTGGGTGCCTCAGGTACCTCTAGTGCTTAAGGTACCTTCGGTGCCTCGAGTACCTCTAGTGCCTCAGATGCTTGAATAGGTCAAACATGTTGCCCACATGAAGATGGAGGTAGAGATGCATGACTAGGCGAGATTGGTTTCCTATGGGAAGAAGAAAGCGGAAATACAAGAGCTCTAGAAGTTGATGTCTCTGTATCAACTAAGCTAGAGGTAAAAGGAGCATCCGATGGTTGACTATTTCCCCTCCAAACAGATGCATGATGTGCAATCATGTCGTGCCTCAATCGGTATTGCCTATCAACCATAAGGTCTATAAGCAAACCACACAAGCGTTACACAATGATTACAAGAAAAAAACAAAACAAAAAAACAAATGCAGACTGAAAAACTCTGGTGATGCATCTCCGGTTTTTGGAAATTAAAACGTTAGAAAATTCTAGAGATGTGTCTCTGGCGGTAATGGAGTCCCACCAAAACAACAAAAATAGTGCATTGATCAATAAAACTACCTATCAAACATGTTTGTCATTATGTATAAAATACCAAACATTTATAAATTATCTATTTCATAACCTAATCATCAATTTATACAAATTTATACAAAAACACAAACAAGTTTAGAAAAATCAAAACTTACTAATTGTGAGTTTACTTTAGTGTTGAATGAGTTCTTTGATGGATTTGATATTGATGGAAGAAGCTTTGAAGTTGGTTGGATAATTTTGAGAGAGTTTGAGAACCTTGAAAGTGTTATTTTAGAACTGAGGAATGAGAAAGGGTTTTGGCGCATTTTTTAACAAACAACGTTCAGAGATAGATACATCTCTGTAAGTTACACAGACATGCATCTTCGTAATTTTTTCCCATTAACTTATGACATGATTCAAAAATGTATTGAGTTGGGGTGCATTCGGAGATGCATCTCCAAAATTTGGAGACATTATTCTATTTTCACGAGATGTGCTAGTAATTCATAGGATGCATTAAAAAATATCATTTTCAAAATTAATAAAATCACGGGATATTTACTTGTCCTCCCACATTTAAATCAAACATCTCCCAATTTTCTATAATACCTAAAATATTCTTTCTAAAATTTAACCAAAAAAGAGCGCACGGAAAATTTGGTTATATAATTGAAAAATACGATAGCAATTGAAATATTCGATAGTATATTCTAAAAATCCGCTATGCATTTTTATCGAATTTAATAAAAAACGATGGGTGGAAAAACTTATCGTTTTTTTAAATATCGGTAGTTCACACCGGGTAGACTTATAAAACAAGAAGTTAACACTTTCAGATTTTTGATAAATATGATATGTTTTGTAATTTTTTAAATTTTTGAAAATTTTGGTAGTTGATTTTAGTTAACAAAATTAACACTTTCGAGATTTTAAAAAAAATCGATAAAAACTAAGATTTTTAAAAAATCCGATAGTATATTTGAAAATCCGGTAAAAACTCAAAGATTTTTTGAAAATTTTGATAGTATATTTAAAAAAATTGATAAAAACTCATAGATTTTTTTAAAAATCTGATAAAAACTCATAAATTTTTTGTAAAATTTGATAAAAACTCAAAGATTTTTTCAAAAAACCTAATAGTATATATATATACGAAAAATCTAATAAAAACTCATAGATTTTTAAAAATTTTGATAGTATAGTCGAAAAATTCGATAAAAATTATAAATTTACATCGGTTTTTTTTTATCCAGTAAAAACTTATAGAAATTTTAAAAATTCATACGATTCTTCAAAAATCTGGTAAAAATTTATAGATCCCTCAAAAATCAAATAAAAGTTCATGAATTTTCGAAAAATCTAATAAAAACTCTTGAATTTCCTAAAAATCCAGAAAATATAATATTTTTTAAAAATATAAAAAATCATAAAAAATATTATGATAAAAATATTGTAATTAAGAAATATGCTATTGAAGGATGTTAGATATAAATGTGAGAAAGGACTAAAACTGGCGGATAAAAATCTTCAAAATCTAACATAGCCAAACATACTGAATAAGTTACGTATATGTGTGATATACAACTTTGCAAGTTGCATATTCAATTCTAACAAGCAATCGTATGGACCAAAATCATTGAGTTCATAATAAAAAATAAACATCCATCCAATTCCATTCATAAATATATTACATTCTAATTTATTTTTAATAAAAAAACAAATGAATAAAAAAATTTAACACCCCAAATCAATAATTGAGCTATTACTACTGTTTAACTAATTTATAACAGCCTCTCTACAATCACAATCAGATAAATAATTTACAAATTTATCATTATACAACATTGATACTAACTTTGAGTAGCTTGTGATTGAGGACTCTTTGTAGAAGAAGGAGAAGGTTCTGCTTCCGGAGGAAAATCGGAAAGTAAAGCCAACATCCGGCGAATACTCAGGGAACGCGCCGGCTTGAAGCTGTTTGATCTCTTGATATCCTTGGAGAATATGTTTGATGAATTTGAAAGGATAAGGTACACCAAAGCTTGGACTAGGAAGAACACAACCACCTTAACCAACATGTCACCTAAGGAACTATCCATCTTTAGAACAAAGTTTGTTGGAACACAAATGAATGTAACAGATTGTAGCCTTTAACGATTACTTGAATCTACGAAAATGTTTTGATGATGAAATGAATATTGTTGAATTGAAATAATTTGCATGGAGAAGTCCTATTTATAGATGGTTATAGGTAGAAGTACATGTTGGACCAAAGTTTGGAAAAGTAAGGAAATCATTAAATTATTATTATTGCATGAAGTTTTGACTTGTTAATTTTCACGTTGGGATTGAGGGGGAACCGTGGAAGTTTCAATCAATGTTATCCAGAAGGGTGCTAAAAGTGTAGACGTGTCAAGAGCTTAGTGGCTATGAAAATGTAATTTTAATTTTACAAAGAGAAATAATTGAATTGAATGAGTTGGATTGCTTGTTGACGAATTAGAAGAAGTTAGACGGAAGTTTCCTAACGGAGTTAAATGTTGGTCCATTTGGTGTCACGGAATTGAAGGTGCTGACTCGTTGTTTTAATCCACTTGGTGTCGTATAGTACCTAGAGATTATTATATTTATATTAATGATAATTTAAATACATAAAATATTTTGTAAATTATTATTTTCTCATATTTATCATTTTTTTTAACGTGTGTAAAGTATGATATTAATTTTAAGTAGGAAGGAGTAATACTTTCATTTTACTTTCTATACTTTGTGAGACTTTATCAACTGCTTGATGGGCAGTTGGTTAGGGGTGTTAATTTAACTGTCTACATTTAATATTAAGCCATAAAATAGATGATAGAAAATATATTTTAATTATTTAGCCATCATTAGTGAAGACTGAGTGTAAGAATATGACTTATGAAAGATGATGTAAAATATTGTTTGTATACTAATAAAAGGCGTCTCATAGTTTTTCTTTTCTTATAGCAATCTATAATAATCTCTTTGTGCGTGGTTAGTTAGTAAAATTGTTGAATAAATTGATACTAATAATAAAAAGAAAATAATAAATAATGTATTGATATTATAAAAGAGATAGTTATTTTAAGATAGATAAAAATTTCAAACGAAAAACTTTTTTTATAAGACAAAGAGTAATATATTATGGTATGTTTGTTTAAAAGATTAAATATATAATTCTGAAAATATTACTTTTAGAACAATAATTTCAAGAATTTAATTTATGTCTATGTATTAGATAATTAATTGGAGTTTTTTGAAATATTTATAAAATATATTTAATTTAAATTATATATATATATATATATATATATATATATATATATATATATATATATATATATATATATATATATATATATATATATATATATATATCGGCAAGCAACACATCGTGAGCTCCTTAATTTGCCAGTGGTGGAGAAGAGGAGGGGGTGTACCTGCAAGGTACTTTGATACTAAAGTAAGAGATGCAGTAAGAGAAAGGCAAGTACAGAAAAGGTATAGAAAGAATAGAATATATGACCCTCTAGTGAAAGAGGGTATTTATAATGTGCCCCCAACGCTGGATCAACGGTTACTTTGCATTGGGTTAGATTGCAAGGTCCAACACGAGTAATTGACAGGGCTTACGTGGCGTAGTGAAGGCTAGCACATGGTCTTCACCATGGGTCAACTGCCCCGTGATCTTCGGAAGGTGGTGACCTGTTCTTTCGGATGCGGGTAGTTGCTGATGACGTGTCCCCGCGTGGGGGCCACGTGGGGTCTGTGGGGGAGACGCATGAGCGCTCCCCGTGTGGTGTGATAAGTTGGGCCTTCGTTGGACCCTCCCCGACTAAGAAATAGGTTGGGTCGTGCCCGATAGTAGGGCAGCCTCTGGCCTAGTCCAGAACAGGAGCCCCCAAGTCGTTGCTACGAAATAGAGGAGTAATGACTTAAGAGTCAGTTCTAGCGTCGAGGACCCTCCCGGAAGAGTGTTGTGCGTGTTTGAAACACTGAGCTCGAGGAATGAAGCGTGTAGGCAGGAATATGAGCTACTCGACAAGGCAGGAGCTCGCGGGGGACCTGTCTGTCTGATGTAGTCATGGCTCTTCCCCTGCTTCCTGTGGGAAAGCGTTCCTGGAAGTGCAATTTCGGGCAACGTGGCCGATGATGTGACGGAAGCGGAAGGGAACGGGCACGCCTGGTCTTGAGCAGGCAAGGGATCTGAAAGGACACGCATGGTGTCTTCCAGCGCCACGTATCAAGAGTAATAAATGCCTAGGGTGGCTATGAGTAGGGATACTTAAGTGCCTAGTGACGCCTCACTTCCCGTGTTAGGGTTATAAATAAGGGAGAAGTTTGTTTTATTTGCACGCTCCCCTTTCATTTTTCCTCAAGTCTCTCCCAGCTCTCTTTCTGCTCTACAAAGCGCGTCCTTCGAGCAGCTGCCGTCAGCCTCTCTCCACTGCCCGTAATCTTTTTTCTTCAAGTAAGTCTCTGGCCCTTTTTCTAGAATTTATGAACTTTCTGATGGTTTATGCATTTTTTGGCGATTTCTCCAGGGAGCTCATGAAGTTCCCGGGGAATGCATGATGTTTCTGGAGGCTTTCATGAAGTTTTCGGCGAACTCATGAAGTTTCCTGCGGAACTATGAATTTTCCGATGAAGACGTCGGGAAGTTCATGAGGATTCTAGGAAACTTCATGAAGTTTACGATGAAGGCCTCGGTTGCCTACGATGAAGGTCTCGAGGAGCCGTGTTCCCCGTGAACGCGCGAACATTGCGAGGAAATCTCTTGTCGGGGAGGCTCCCCGTATTCAGTTGGAGAGACCTTACATGCTAAAGAGCCTTTCTGTCGAGAATGGAGGCTCGTCAACTCGCGTTGAGGAGTGCCTCTTCGTGGTCGGGTCTTTTTTCCAAGGAGGGAGACTCGCTGCTCTGTGTCGATCAGGGACCCCCGTGGACTGAGTACCTCGCGGGGTGTTATGGTCAGGGAGGTTTGTCGAGCGGATCCTTACCCCTCTCTTCGCCCTTTCACTTGATTTGCGGTGGAAGGGTGGATTTGATCTTAGATGTCAAATTCACTGTTTCCCTCTACTTTTCAGGTAAAATGGTCGCAAGGATTAAGGGTGTCATTGTAATAGATGACGAAGTCGAGTCTGATACCCCCGTCGAGCAAGTCGGAGCCAAGCGAGCTCGCACGCCTGAAGATTAGGCCGGGTAGGAACCCCTTAATATCGCCTCGCACTTTGCCATCGACGACATGGACGCCTTCTCCACCGTTGAGGATCGTGCTGAGGGCTCTTCCCCGAGTTGGATAGTTTAAAGGCCCAAAGAGAATCATCATATTTGCTCGAGGTTTAAGGGGATGAGGTTCCCGATGTATGAGTTCGCGTTTTGGGAAGCGGGGCTCCGTCTACCTTTTAGTGACTTCCAGAAGGGAGTGTTCCAATGGCTGCATCTGGTGCCCTCGCAGCTCCACCCCAACGCGATTGCGTTCGTGCGAGTGTTCGAGCTTGTGTTCCAACACCTCTGCATTGGGGTCATGTTACTCTTATTTTTCCGTACTTTCCACCTGCAACGATAATTTTTCTAGGGTCGGCATAGTTGGGTACCCCTAAAGCATCCGAGGAAGCTGTTTCGGGCATACCAGGATTCTGTTTGTACCTTTAAGGGCAGGTTTTTCTTCGTGAAGCATGTATCTCATGTGGTCATCGACTGCGTGTACAACCTCGTGGTCAAGAAGGAGGATGGGCAGCTGGTGAAATCTTTAGAGTTGAAGTTCCCTCTGGAATGGGATGTGGGACACTTTAAAAGTGGTACGGACAACTACATTGTCAAGCCCGGCTTCCTGAACATCGAAGATCGGCTATCTTACGAGAAGATAGTCAAGTTTGCCTCTGGTTTCACTCCTGTAAAATGTGTCAACAAGGACGGGAGTTTTATTCTTGAAGAGCGCGTGGAGGTTTTTCGTGAACCTCGATTGATCAACATTAAGGCCCTCCTCGAGTGCGGGTCCGACGAAGAGGCCTTGAGGTTCTTAGGTAGTGGATGTTTTATTTGCTCGAGTACCTGCTCATTTTTCTTTGTTATATTGACTTTTTTCCCTTTTTTTCTATTGCAGGCCAGATGTCCAACATCCAGGAGCGTGTCATGAAACTTGTTGCGACCGAGGGAGCAAAAAAGGTTGCCAAGGGCAGAGTCGGTCAGGTCCAGCAGATGCTGAAGCCCAATCAACAACCTGGTGGTTCCTCTTCCCCACAAGTTAGTCAATCTCCCCCTCACATGAGACTTCATCCAAGAGGCAGGGTGCCGACGACTCTGGACCTGTAGACCATCCTGAGAGTGTGGCCGGGGAAAGTTTGTGATGCCTCCCTGCTACCTTCATCGTGATTTCTTCTGCGGGAACAACTCCCCAATCGTGGTCGTGGCAGAGTAAAAAGCCATCATGGGGGTCGACAGGGCGGCCAGAAGAAAGGCTTTATCAATGGACATGATCGATATGATGAGGATCTTCGAAACGGCATTGGTCCTCAACGACGGAACCAGCCCAAAATCCGAGATGAAAGTGCTGCAGGCCGAGAATGCTACCCTTTGGATGGAGAAGAATAAGGCTAATAACGACATCCTCGAGTGCCAAACAAGGTACTGGGCCCAGGTGTGCCTCATCAAAGAGATGAATGTAATGAGGGAAACCTAAAGGAGGCCGGGGGAAAGGGATCGACTTTGGACCAAGGTCGGTGAGTTGGAGACTACTGCCAAGCCCGTTGAGGATGAGATAGATGAGGAGAGGGCCCTTACCACCCACGGTGCCCTGATCGTCTGGATTCGGGAACTCGAGCAGGACTGCTTGGAGGCTCTCGAGTGGGGTTTAGCAGTGCTTTCGAGCAGCTCCAAATTGTAAATCCTGAGGCTCAGTTTGTCCTCGAGGGGATTGGCTCGTTCCATTAGGTGGTTGACAGTCGGGTGGTTTCCCCCGAGGTTCCCGGCGATGAAGTTGGTCAGAGCGACGGAGAGCATCGGCCCGAGGAGGAGGCTACTGTTTAATTTCTTTTTCTTTTTCGTTGTTTGACCTGCGCGCCATTTGAATTGTTGT